CATCATGTGAATGTGAATTTATTGTCAATGCAAGTGTAAGTCTTTCTTAATTTAATGAAACAATATGCAACTCTGGTATCTGTCAGAGAAATATCAAAAACAAATAATAACCAGATGTTAGACACCTGGTTCGGCTGGGGTCCACGTGGACCCCAAATGTATTTTTTGTATACACACCACATAAATAATGGTAAAAAAATTAGCTCTTGGGCATGTGATAGCAACAAGTTGGGTGACAATCAATCGCAATCAGAAATATGGCAACGTTTTTACCCCTGGGATCCGCATGGACACCAGGTGTACTGATTAGGGTTAATTACAGGTTTGTTTAGTTCAGTGATTTGGATCAAAATAAAAAAACAAAAAGACAGCTAAAGGATTGAAACCTTAATCTCAGTAGTAGTATTTATTTATTTATTTTATCTTATGTTGTTAGTCGCTAATATTTAATTTCTGAAGCTCCACAGATAGTTGTAATAAAGTAAATGGTCATGACAGCAATGACAATGACAACATTATTAAAGCAAGTGACTTTTAAAAAATTTAATATTGCTACAATTATTTGATTTAACAGTGGTTTATAAATTAACATGTTACAACTGCACAATGAAGCTAGCATTATGTACTGTATTATTTTCTACTAGTAAACACATCTGAAAACATCCATCAAGGATTTTAGTTCTCATTCACACAATAAATAAAGAATAATAAATACTGTGACAAATTTACATGTACATACACATTATTAAATCATTTGGATTATAGAAGGACAAGCGCAGTAAGAGCTATTGTGACAGAAAAGAGACTCATTTTGTTGATTGGTGCTGCTGCTGTTGTCTGGCCGCCTCCACTGCCCGTCGCTGTTGTTGTTGTGGTTGTTGTTGAGGCTCCATTGTTTGTTCCATCTGCACTTGCAGATGCTATCGACAGCAGAGCCGCCTCAGCTGCTGAAGTGGTCGCTGAAGCAGCCAGGGCTGCTGAATATGCTGTTGAAGATAGTGTATCTGCCATATTTGCAATGTTTCCATTTGTTAAGCCTGTCAGTGCAGTCTCTGACACAGTTTCAGCTGCTACTCCTGTGGCTTGGGCCATTTGAGCCACAGCCTTGATCTCTTGAAGAATGGCTTGATCTCTTGAATTTGAGGCTGGTGTACTTGATATAATGTCCTGGAGTTGTGCAGCTCCTTGAATTGATGCTGTAGACACAGATCGCGCTGCATCAGCAGAATTTGTCAGTGTCTCCCTTGTTGGGGAATTTGCTGCTGCTTTTGCTGCAGCTTCAGCAGCTGTGTTAGCCGCTTGGGCACTGGTGTAAGCTATGGCTGCTTTTTCTGCTACTTGCTGTGACTGGGAAGGAGGTAATGTGTCGGCCGCTCTTAAGGCAGCGCTTGCGGCTTCTTGAGCTGCATTCGATGCAACTCTTGCTGCATCCACAGCCATGTTTAAAGGAGCTAATCCAAGAGCCACGAGTTCAGCGGCTCTGGCTGCAGCCTTGGCTGCTGCTGCAGCTGCTTCTGCTGCCGGTTGAGCACTTGGTCCTACAGATGCTGCTGCTGCTGCGGTTGTAGCTGCTGCTGCCGCTGCTGCTGCTGTGGATGCAACCACTGCACCTTCTTGAGCTTTTGCCAAGGCTATTTGTGTGCCTCCATTAGGGTCATCAGTTGTTGGTGTAGATGTACCCGTGTTGCCATTATCTGACGTTCTTGGTAATGCTTGATAAGAAGCCCTCGCTGCAGCCTGAGCTGTTCTGGCAGCAGATTTCGCGGTTGGCGTAATTAGCTCAGTTGAGTTTGCTACTACAGCATTAGCTGCAGTTTCTGAAGCAATGGCTGTTGCTTCTGTCATATCTGCCACACTTTGTGCAACTTGTTTTATTCTTTCTATTTCTGCATCCTGATTTTGAGTGGATCCTGCCAGTACCTCCAGTGTAGTAGCTGCAGCTTCTCCCACTGTTTTGGCTGCATTTGCAGTTTCAATCACCTCTTCTAGTGTTGCAGAATCTACACTTGCTCTTGCTGCTGCTTCTGCTGCCCTCCTGGCTGATAGTGCTGCTTGGTTTGCTGCCTCAATTAACTTTGTTCCTTCAGATGTAGTGACAGTTGCTCTTGCAGCATTCACAACCCTCTCTGCAGCATCAGCTGCATTTCTGGCAGCTATCGCAGCCACTGTCAAAGGCTGAGTTCCATTCGCCACAGCCGAGGCTGCGTCAGCTGCAACTTGAGCTGCGGTCACTGCCGCTAATACTTCCTGACGTGGTGCTCCTGCTGCTGAAGCTGTGGCTGCTGCTAATGCAGTGGCTGCAGCCGCTGCTGCGGTAGATGTTGATACTGCTGATCGATCTGTTGTTGTTACAGGTGCTGGAGTTGTGGGTGTTGGTGTGGGATCAGTAATGTTCCACCGTGGAAGTGCAATTTCTGCTGCAATTGCACTGGCCTCTGCAGCTGTAGCTGCTGCTTTTGCAGACTCTAACATGATGCCAGCTGTGTCTGTTTGTGTGACACCTGTTGCAGCTCTAGCTGCCAGTGCAGTTGCTTGACTCATTTGTGCCACTGTTTGTGTTGCTGAGATGGAAAGCTCTGTTGCACGTGCTCCATCTGTAGCTGGCAGAGAACTTAATATTCTACCCAAAGAATCAGCTGCCTCTGCAGACCTTTGCGCGACCTGTGTCTCTGCATCAGCTGCTCCATTAATTGCTTCATCTGTCCCTGTGGTGGCTAGTTGTGCTGCTTGTGCTGCCTCTTTAGCTGCCTGTGCTAATTGTAAAGCAATGTTTAAAACTTCATCAGTCGCATTCTTCAAAGGTGCAGGTACTTCAGAGGCTTCTAGTTTTGCAGCCTCAACTGCCAGTAAAGTTTTGTTGGCAGCTTCCAGTGCTGCTTGTGCTGCCTCATCTGGTGTTCTCTCTCCGTTTGCCACTAAGGCTGCTACCTTAGCTGCTTCCCTTGCTGCTTTCATGGCTAACTCTGCTTTGGGAGATGCTGTTGCTCCTGCAGCAGTGGAAATAGAGGCTGCTGCAGCAGCTGCAGTTGATGCTGCAGCGGCTGCAGCTGAGGCTGCTGCTGATGTTGCGGATCTTATTGTTGAGTCTTTCATAGACGGCGTGAGCCCTGATATTGTGTTGGCCAAACTGACACCTCTGTAAGCTGATTTTAAGGATTCTCTCGCTGAGGCAATTGCTTCATTCCCCAGTTGCTCTGCTTCATCTGGAGTTGCTGCTTTGATAGACGCAGCTGCCTTATCTACTGCAGTCTTCGCTTCTGGTGTTGCTTTTCCAACCAGATCTGATGCTATTTGAAATGCGATTAAAGCATCTTTTAATGTTTTTGCATCAACTGGTTGAACGGTTGTTTGTTGCAGTGCAGCCAATACGGCTTTGAGGGCTTCTTCTGACGCTATAGCTGAATCATTCATGGCTGCAGCAGCTGCATTTAAACTTTCAGGAGTTATTGTAGATACATTGTTTGCTGCCTGGGCTGCTTTGAGAGCTGCTTCTGTTGCATTGGCAGATGCTTCAAGAATATACTCAGTAAACGGTGCCATTGAATCTGGGAGAGCCTCTGCTGCTTGTTTTGCTGCCAAAGATGCCTCCTGTGCTTTTTGTGCTGCAATTTGAGCTGCTTGTATGGCTTCCTCTGGTGAAGCGGTCCCATTGAGTACTGCTTCTGCCATTCTCGCTGCCTCTTCAGCAGCCTTGATTGCTTCTTCTGCAGCGATCCTTGCTTTGTCAGCAAGTGGTCCAGTGGAGGCTGATGCGACTGTGGCTGCTGTGGCTCCTGCAGTTGTTGCAGCACTTGATGCTACAGATGCTGCTGCTGCTGCTGCAGCTCTGGCAGCTCTTATCTCTGCAGAGGATTTTGTTGATAATATGTTTGCAGCAGACTCAATGGTTTGGTTTGTTGAAGTATTGGCATCTTTAACTGAATTAATAGCTTCATTTGACAGACGGTTTGCCTCTTCTGTTGTGTTTGCTGTTAAGGAGGCAGCTGCCTTTTCCACTGCAGTTATGGATTTGTTTGCGGTTTGTGCGGCATTCTCAGCTACTGATGACACAAATCCTTCTAATTTGGGGTCAAGGGGTACAGTCGTATTTTGTTGTACTGCAGATAGTAATGCTGTGAGGGCTTTTTCTGCTGCGATTGCTGAATTCATTTCATGGCTGCAGGCTGCTGCATTCAACTTTCAGGAGTTATTGTAGATGCATTGTTTGCTGCCTGGGCTGCTTTGAGAGCTGCTTCTGTTGCATTGGCAGATGCTTGAAGAATTCTTTCTCTAAATGGTGCCATTGAATCTGGGAGAGCCTCTGCTGCTTGTTTTGCTGCCAAAGATGCCTCCTGTGCTTTTTGTGCTGCAATTTGAGCTGCTTGTATGGCTTCCTCTGGTGAAGCGGTCCCATTGAGTACTGCTTCTGCCATTCTCGCTGCCTCTTCAGCAGCCTTGATTGCTTCTTCTGCAGCGATCCTTGCTTTGTCAGCAAGTGGTCCAGTGGAGGCTGATGCGACTGTGGCTGCTGTGGCCGCTCCTGCTGCTGCTGCAGCATTTGATGCTATCTTTGCTGCTGATGCTGCCGCAGCTGCGGTTGCCCTTATCACTGCTTGGGATTTTGTTGATAATATGTTTGCAGCAGACTCAATGGTTTGGTTTTTGTTGAATTATTGGCATCTTTAACTGAATTAATAGCTTCGTTTGACAGACGGTTTGCCTCTTCTGTTGTGTTTGCTGTTAAGGAGGCAGCTGCCTTTTCCACTGCAGTTATGGATTTGTTAGCGGTTTGTGCGGCATTCTCAGCTGCTGATGACACAAATCCTTCTAATTTGGGGTCAAGGGGTGCAGTCGTATTTTGTTGTACTGCAGATAGTAATGCTGTGAAGGCTTTTTCTGTTGAGATTGCTGAATCATTCATGGCTGAGGCTGCTGCATTCAGACTTTCAGGAGTTATTGTAGATGCATTGTTTGCTGCCTGGGATGCTTTGAGAGCTGCTTCTGTTGCATTGGCAGATGCTTCAAGAAATTCCCTCCCTAAATGGTGCCATTGAATCTGGGAGAGCCTCTGCTGCTTGTTTTGCTGCCAAAGATGCCTCCTGTGCTTTTTGTGCTGCAATTTTAGCTGCTTGTATGGCTTCCTCTGGTGAAGCGGTCCCATTGAGTACTGCTTCTTCTGCCATTCTCGCTGCCTCTTCAGCCTCTTCAGCAGCCTTGATTGCTTCTTCTGCAGCGACCTGTGCTTTGTCAGCAAGTGGTCCAGTGGAGGCTGATGCGACTGTGGCTGCTGTGGCCGCCGCTGCTGCTGCAGCATTTGATGCTATCTTTGCTGCTGATGCTGCCGCAGCTGCTGTTGCACTTATCTCTGCAGGGGATTTCATTGACAGTATATTTGAAGCTGACTTCAAGGGTTTGATTTGTTGAATTATTGGTATCTTTAACTGAATTAATAGCTTCATTTGACAGACGGTTTGCCTCTTCTGTTGTGTTTGCTGTTAAGGAGGCAGCTGCCTTTTCCACTGCAGTTATGGATTTGTTTGCAGTTTGTGCGGCATTCTCAGCTGCTGATGACACAAATCCTTCTAAATTTGGGGTCAAGGGTGCTGTCGTATTTTTGTTGTACTGCAGATAGTAATGCGGTGAAGGCTTTTTCTGTTGCAATTGCTGAATCATTCATGGCTGTAGCTGCTGCATTTCAAACTTTCAGGAGTTATTGTAGATGCATTGTTTGCTGCCTGGGCTGCTTTTTGAGAGCTGCTTCTGTTACATTGGCAGATGCTTGAAGAATTCTTTCTCCTAAATGGTGCCATTGAATCTGGGAGAGCCTCTGCTGCTTGTTTTGCTGCCAAAGATGCCTCCTGTGCTTTTTGTGCTGCAATTTTAGCTGCTTGTATGGCTTCCTCTGGTGAAGCGGTTCCATTGAGTACTGCTTCTGCCATTCTCGCTGCCTCTTCAGCAGCCTTGATTGCTTCTTCTGCAGCGACCTGTGCTTTGTCAGCAAGTGGTCCAGTGGAAGGCTGATGCGACTGTGGCTGCTGTGGCCGCCGCTGCTGCTGCAGCATTTGATGCTATTTTTGCTGCTGCTGCTGCCGCCGTTGCTGTTGCACTTATCTCTGCAGGGGATTTCATTGACAGTATATTTGAAGCTGACTCAAGGGTTTGATTTGTTGAATTATTGGTATCATTAACTGAATTAATAGCTTCATTTGACAGACGGTTTGCCTCTTCTGTTGTGTTTGCTGTTAAGGAGGCAGCTGCTTTTCCACTGCAGTTATGGATTTGTTTGCAGTTTGTGCGGCATTCTCAGCTGCTGATGACACAAAATCCTTCTAAATTGGGTCAANGGTGCTCCTGCTGCTGAAGCTGTGGCTGCTGCTAATGCAGTGGCTGCAGCCGCTGCTGCGGTAGATGTTGATACGCTGATCGATCTGTTGTTGTTACAGGTGCTGGAGTTGTGGGTGTTGGTGTGGGAATCAGTAATGTTCCACCGTGGAAGTGCAATTTCTGCTGCAATTGCACTGGCCTCTGCAGCTGTAGCTGCTGCTTTGCAGACTCTAACATGATGCCAGCTGTGTCTGTTTGTGTGACACCTGTTGCAGCTCTAGCTGCCAGTGCGTTGCTTGACTCATTTGTGCCACTGTTGTGTTGCTGAGATGGAAAGCTCTGTGCACGTGCCCATCTGTAGCTGGCAGAGAACTTAATATTCTACCCAAAGAATCAGCTGCCTCTGCAGACCTTTGCGCGACCTGTGTCTCTGCATCAGCTCTCCATTAATTGCTTCATCTGTCCCTGTGGTGGCTAGTTGTGCTGCTTGTGCTGCCTCTTTAGCTGCCTGTGCTAATTGTAAAAGCAATGTTTAAAACTTCATCAGTCGCATTCTTCAAAGGTGCAGGTACTTCAGAGGCTTCTAGTTTTGCAGCCTCAACTGCCAGTAAAGTTTTGTTGGCAGCTTCCAGTGCTGCTTGTGCTGCCTCATCTGGTGTTCTCTCTCCGTTTGCCACTAAGGCTGCTACCTTAGCTGCTTCCCTTGCTGCTTTCATGGCTAACTCTGCTTTGGGAGATGCTGTTGCTCCTGCAGCAGTGGAAATAGAGGCTGCTGCAGCAGCTGCAGTTGATGCTGCAGCGGCTGCAGCTGAGGCTGCTGCTGATGTTGCGGATCTTATTGTTGAGTCTTTCATAGACGGCGTGAGCCCTGATATTGTGTTGGCCAAACTGACACCTCTGTAAGCTGATTTTAAGGATTCTCTCGCTGAGGCAATTGCTTCATTCCCCAGTTGCTCTGCTTCATCTGGAGTTGCTGCTTTGATAGACGCAGCTGCCTTATCTACTGCAGTCTTCGCTTCTGGTGTTGCTTTTTCCAACCAGATCTGATGCTATTTGAAATGCGATTAAAGCATCTTTAATGTTTTTGGCAATCAACTGGTTGAACGGTTGTTTGTTGCAGTGCAGCCAACACGGCTCTGAGGGCTTCTTCTGACGCTATAGCTGAATCATTCATGGCTGCAAGCAGCTGCATTTAAACTTTCAGGAGTTATTGTAGATACATTGTTTGCTGCCTGGCTGCTTTGAGAGCTGCTTCTGTTGCATTGGCAGATGCTTCAAGAATATACTCAGTAAACGGTGCCATTGAATCTGGGAGAGCCTCTGCTGCTTGTTTTGCTGCCAAAGATGCCTCCTGTGCTTTTTGTGATGCAATTTGAGCTGCTTGTATGGCTTCCTCTGGTGGAACGGTTCCATTGAGTACTGCTTCGGCAGTTTTCGCTGCTTCTTCAGCAGCCTTGATTGCTTCTGCTGCAGCGACCTGTGCTTTGTCAGCAAGTGGTCCAGTGGAGGCTGATGCGACTGTGGCTGCTGTGGCTCCTGCAGTTGTTGCAGCACTTGATGCTACAGATGCTGCTGCTGCTGCTGCAGCTCTGGCAGCTCTTATCTCTGCAGAGGATTTTGTTGATAATATGTTTGCAGCAGACTCAATGGTTTGGTTTGTTGAATTATTGGCATCTTTAACTGAATTAATAGCTTCGTTTGACAGACGGTTTGCCTCTTCTGTTGTGTTTGCTGTTAAGGAGGCAGCTGCCTTTTCCACTGCAGTTATGGATTTGTTTGCGGATTGTGCGGCATTCTCAGCTACTGATGACACAAATCCTTCTATTTTGGGGTCAAGGGGTACAGTCATATTTTGTTGTACTGCAGATAGTAATGCTGTGAGTGATTTTTCTGCTGCGATTGCTGAAACTTTCATGGCTGCAGCCGATGCATTTAAACTTTCAGGAGTTATTGTAGATGCATTGTTTGCTGCCTGGGCTGCTTTTTGAGCTGCTTCTGTTACATTGGCAGACGCTTGAAAAATTCCCTCCTTAAAAGGTGCCATTGAATCTGGGAGAGCCTCTGCTGCTTGTTTTGCTGCCAAAGATGCCTCCTGTGCTTTTTGTGCTGCAATTTTAGCTGCTTGTATGGCTTCCTCTGGTGAAGCGGTCCCATTGAGTACTGCTTCTGCCATTCTCGCTGCCTCTTCAGCAGCCTTGATTGCTTCTTCTGCAGCGACCTGTGCTTTGTCAGCAAGTGGTCCAGTGGAGGCTGATGCGACTGTGGCTGCTGTGGCCGCCGCTGCTGCTGCAGCATTTGATGCTATGTTTGCTGCTGCTGCTGCCACAGATGCTGTTGCACTTATCTCTGCAGGGGATTTCATTGACAGTATATTTGAAGCTGATTCAAGGGTTTGATTTGTTGAATTATTGGTATCTTTAACTGAATTAATAGCTTCATTTGACAGACGGTTTGCCTCTTCTGTTGTGTTTGCTGTTAAGGAGGCAGCTGCCTTTTCCACTGCAGTTATGGATTTGTTTGCAGTTTGTGCGGCATTCTCAGCTGCTGATGACACAAATCCTTCTAAATTGGGGTCAAAGGGTGCTGTCGTATTTTGTTGTACTGCAGATAGTAATGCGGTGAAGGCTTTTTCTGTTGCAATTGCTGAATCATTCATGGCTGTAGCTGCTGCATTCAAACTTTCAGGAGTTATTGTAGATGCATTGTTTGCTGCCTGGGCTGCTTTTTGAGCTGCTTCTGTTACATTGGCAGATGCTTGAAGAATTCTTTCTCTAAATGGTGCCATTGACTCTGGGAGAGCCTCTGCTGCTTGTTTTGCTGCCAAAGATGCCTCCTGTGCTTTTTGTGCTGCAATTTTAGCTGCTTGTATGGCTTCCTCTGGTGAAGCGGTTCCATTGAGTACTGCTTCTGCCATTCTCGCTGCCTCTTCAGCAGCCTTGATTGCTTCTTCTGCAGCGACCTGTGCTTTGTCAGCAAGTGGTCCAGTGGAAGCTGATGCAACTGTGGCGGCTGTGGCCGCCGCTGCTGCTGCAGCATTTGATGCTATTTTTGCTGCTGCTGCTGCCGCCGTTGCTGTTGCACTTATCTCTGCAGGGGATTTCATTGACAGTATATTTGAAGCTGACTCAAGGGTTTGATTTGTTGAATTATTGGTATCATTAACTGAATTAATAGCTTCATTTGACAGACGGTTTGCCTCTTCTGTTGTGTTTGCTGTTAAGGAGGCAGCTGCCTTTTCCACTGCAGTTATGGATTTGTTTGCAGTTTGTGCGGCATTCTCAGCTGCTGATGACACAAATCCTTCTAAATTGGGGTCAAAGGGTGCTGTCGTATTTTGTTGTACTGCAGATAGTAATGCGGTGAAGGCTTTTTCTGTTGCAATTGCTGAATCATTCATGGCTGTAGCTGCTGCATTCAAACTTTCAGGAGTTATTGTAGATGCATTGTTTGCTGCCTGGGCTGCTTTTTGAGCTGCTTCTGTTACATTGGCAGACGCTTGAAGAATTCCCTCCTTAAAAGGTGCCATTGAATCTGGGAGAGCCTCTGCTGCTTGTTTTGCTGCCAAAGATGCCTCCTGTGCTTTTTGTGCTGCAATTTTAGCTGCTTGTATGGCTTCCTCTGGTGAAGCGGTTCCATTGAGTACTGCTTCTGCCATTCTCGCTGCCTCTTCAGCAGCCTTGATTGCTTCTTCTGCAGCGACCTGTGCTTTGTCAGCAAGTGGTCCAGTGGAGGCTGATGCGAACTGTGGCTGCTGTGGCTCCTGCTGCTGCTGCAACATTTGATGCTATTTTTGCTGCTGCTGCTGCTGCTGTTATGGCATTCCTTACCTCTGCAGGAGATTTTGTAGGTGGTGGAGTGGTTGTTATTGTAGGTGATGGTGTGGTTGTTATCGTAGGTGATGGCGTGGTAGGAAAGTATGTTATGGCTTTAAATGCATTTTCAGCTGCATTGTTTGCTGAATTAATTATGTTTTGTAACAATGTAAAAGCCTCATTTGATAATTTTTGTGCATCTTCTGTAGTGTTTGCCGTTAAAGACTCTGCTGCCTTTTCAACAGCAGTTTGCGTTGCACTGGCAGTATTTTCGGCATTCTTTGCTGCATCAACTATAAATGTTTTTAATATTGGGTCAAGTGGCGCAGTAATATTTTGTTCTAGAGCTGCTAACATAGCCTTGGCTGCTTGTTGTGATGCTATTGCTGACTCATTCATGGCTGTAGTTGCTGCTTGTAGGTTTTCATCAGTTAAAGAAAACACATTATTAGCTGCTTCAGCTGCCTTAAGGGCTGCCTTTGTTGCATTAGCAGTTGCTTCCCCAATATTTTCTGAATATTGGGTCAGTGATGCAGGGGTTGTCTGTGATGCTTGCTCTGCTGCCTGGGATGCCTCAAGTGCTTTCTCTGCTGCCAGCTGAGCTGCTTGTATTGTATCTGTTAGTGTTCCTGTTCCGTTTAGTAATGCCTGAGCCTGTCTTGCTGCCTCTTGAGCAGCTTTGAGAGCTTCCACAGATGCATTATAGGCTTGCTGAGCCAAGGTTCTGTTGGTTGTGGATGCAGCTGCTGCTGCTGCTGCCGCTGCAGCTGTTGCTGCTGCTGTTGCTGCTGTTGATGCCACACCAGTAGCTGTAGCTGCTGTTACTGCTTCACTTCTGCCCGGTACTATTACTGGTGCTTTAGTTGTAGTTGTTGTTGTAGTTGGTATAATTTTCATAGTTGTAGGAGCTGTAGTTGTAGTATTTG